TGGCGTACTAGCGTTTCCACTTGCGCACGCGGTAAATAATGCTGACTGTTCTTTTTTAAATATATCACTTCACCATCTTCCAATTCAAATTTGCCATAATCTTCCAGACAACGCACTTCTATATATAAAGACTTTGGTGGGCGTAAATCGCCCGTTAAATCAATTCCTTGTCCATCACCAATGGAACGCATGTAGGATGCTAATGACTTTGAGTACGTATTGAAGAAGTGCACTTCGGGTTCGCACAGGGATGTTTTAATATCCACTGGTATAATAGGGCCAAACTCCCAACGAAGCGCTTTAATACGCAGCAGACGTTTATAAAGATATGTAAGTAGGCAGCGCTTATTTCTTTGTAGGGCTGCGTGTCGAAAATTTAATAATGGCCATAAAGTTCGATCACCAGAAGTTGAATAGTTAGCGCTGTGTAAAAAATTATAACTTAAGATATAAAACTATTATAGCACAATGAAACTTACGCTTGTGCACAGTTTTCTTCAAAAATTGCTTTGATTTCCTCCAATACTTGACGTACTCCATCATCCTGTAAGGCACATTCGAACATTTCTCAAACATGACAAATATAGACGTTTTTTACTTACATCAAAAGGTGGAATTGTCTGTGAAGAACGTTCCAGTTCTTTAACTAACTCAAAAGCTTTATCAGCAAACATTTTATTGGATTTTGCCATTTTTATTACACTTTTCGCACTTCGCTAACTAAAATACTAAACAAATTTTAAGCGCGTTTTTATTGAATTGTTTACGTTTTACTTATGTTATTACCCTCGTTTCGTTGTCAGAATGTAAGTGTTGCGTAGCTTGTACAATTATTTTAAAAACCAATCGACCACAAGGAACTGTCAAAATCAGCTGTCTTCTGTGGTTTTGGCGCTATTTACAAAAAAAGGGAATAAGTTCGTATGATATGGTAAAGTGAAATAGACGTAGTGCGCAAAATTTAATTCCGAAATAAGTTATAACAACTATAAAACATATTGAAGTGCATTTAAAAATGCCGGAATATATAATCGCCGGCATACCGGTGCATTTTCCGTTTGAACCTTACGATGTGCAAACGGCATATATGGAAAAAGTAATCAGCTGCCTACGTGATGGCACGAATGGCGTGCTGGAGTCTCCAACTGGCACTGGCAAAACATTGAGTTTACTATGTTCATCTCTAGCCTGGTTGTTGTCGCGAAAAGCGGATATGCAATCGTTAGTACAAAGAAATGCAAGAGGTGGAGCAGCAACACAACAAGCGGTCAATGAATTCAATGCAATTCAGTCGAGAAATGCCAGCTGGGGCATACCAAAAATTATATATGCCTCGCGTACACATTCCCAATTAACGCAAGCTATGCAAGAATTGAAACGTACATCATATTCCTTTATGCGCGCTGTAGTTTTAGGATCGCGCGATCAGTTATGTATTCACCCAGAAGTTATGCGAGAACAGGGCAATTCCAACAAAGTACAACTTTGTAAATTGCGCATCCAAACGCGCACTTGTTCATTCTACAATCGTGTTGAATCCAAGAAGGACAGTCCCGAATTAAAAGAACAGTCCATAATGGATATTGAAGATTTGGTCAAAGTAGGACAGAAACTTAAAGTGTGTCCCTATTTTGCATCAAAAGAGTTGACTAGTGACGCAGATATAACATTTATGCCATACAACTATCTTTTGGATCCAAAAGCACGTAAAGCAAATAAAGTTGACCTGAACAATACAATTGTTATATTAGATGAGGCGCATAACATAGAGAAAATTTGTGAGGAATCTGCATCTGTGCAAATACGTTCGTCGGACATAGCTTTGGCTATTGACGATGTGACGCATGTAATGAAGGCAATGATGAGCGAAAATGCGTTAGATTTCATGAGCAATGACGAACCGAAAGACTTTAAATTAGAAGATTTGGCACTACTTAAAGAGATGCTGTTGGACCTGGAGAAAGGCATTGATGATATTGTAGTCGAAAATAAAACAGAGGGCACCACATTTCCACCTGCTTTTATGTTTGATCTGTTAGCTGGAGCAAAAGTAAGTGTTTCGTTTACCAAACCTCTCCTCCCGCATTACAGGAATGAATTTTTTTACAGTTCACTCCAGCTACAGCACCTGCAACAATAAGTTTGTTAGAACGGCTCGTTCAATTTATGACCGTTCAGTCTCAAGATAGCGCATTTCGAAAAGGTGGTAGCTTCGAAGTTCTTTCTAACCTGCTAAGCGTCGTATTCGTTAAAAAAGAAGATATTATAGCAAAGGTGCTCAGAAGCTTCAAAGTGCATGTACAAATCGAAGAATTGAAACAGAACACAAAAAATTCCGGCAAGGATGGCTGGTTATCAAAAGCGTCCAGTAACAGCACAGTTTCTACGAAATTGCCAAAAATTATAAATTATTGGTGTTTTAATCCCGGTTTTGGCATGGAACAACTTTTAAATACACAGGTGCGAAGTATAATTTTAACGAGTGGAACCTTAGCGCCTTTGAAACCATTAATTGCCGAATTGGCGGTACCAATTGCGCAAAGTCTTGAAAATCCGCACATTGTTAATCAATCGCAAGTTTTTGTTAAAATTATCGGTACAGGGCCAGATCGAGAGCAGCTCATATCAAATTTTGCCAATCGGTAAGAATGTATTGTTTGCGCTTCTGCGTCCATGTCTTTATTGACTGTAATTTATGCAGCGACAATCCGAAGTATCTCAGCTCTCTGGGTCAAACGGTGCTGAATATTTCACGTATCGTACCCGATGGTCTTCTCGTGTTCTTCCCCTCCTATCCACTGTTGAATCAATGTGTAGACGCTTGGCAGGCCAGTGGACTTTGGGCAGAAGTATCTCGACATAAACCGATTTTTGTGGAACCACGCAGTAAAGATAGCTTTACAACAACAATGGAGGAATTCTACAAAAGTATACGCGATGCAAAGGGTGCTGTTTTTATGGCGGTATGTCGCGGTAAAGTATCCGAGGGTCTCGATTTCGCCGATCGTAATGGTCGCGCAGTGATTATTACTGGCCTACCATTTCCTCCACTGAAAGACCCGAAAGTGATTTTAAAGAAACGGTACTTGGAAGATAATCGTACAAAAGAGAATGAGGTGTGCCAATATATATTTTTTTTTACTATGCTGCTGTTAACAATACACGATTTTTCAGCTGCTAACTGGTCAAGCATGGTATAGTTTAGAGGCGACTCGTGCCGTCAATCAGGCTATCGGACGTGTCATTCGTCATCGAAATGATTATGGCGCAATTTTATTGTGCGACATGCGTTTTGCACAACCTAATCAGGTATCACAGCTGTCCAAATGGGTCCGTGGACATTTAGGCCCAGCACCGAAAAGTGTACCCTTCGGTTCGATTGTGAGAGAATTACGTGAATTCTTTCGAAATGCTGATAAATCTGTAATTCATTAGCTCAAGGATTTATAGTGACTATTTGTTTTAACAACCATTTCATTAAACAGCTTCCAAAACCCAAAGAGCGTAGTATCGAATCTCTAGTTAGCGAAACGTGTGAGGAAGCTGGTATTGTACAAAGTCGTTTCTTCTCTGATCCAAAGAAGGTGCTTGAAGGGAAAAGTAAATTTGCAACGGCGCAAACAATGGCGATGTAAGCAAGTCATGTATATACATATGTACTAGTAGATTACATGTATACATTTTAAAATTAAAACCTATGATTACAATGATCTAACAGGAAAGTTGAGAAAACCAATTCAATCGAAAGTTGGACACCTGATGACTACAAAATGGCCGCAGGACGGTCCCAAGACAGTAAAGTACCGAACGCTATGGACTTTATGAGTCGACTAGACAATAACGTGAAGGTATTGCAATGTAGAAACATATGCATATACATATGTATATCAGTCAGTTCTCTAATATCATAAAAAATGTTAATGCTCATAAAATTTTGTCACAGTCAATAGACTTCAATAGTGCCAGCTGCAGCAATTCCCCGCGACAGAATCAAGTTAGTTTTTATAAACGTGAGCGAATTTCACCCACATCCAGTCCAAGTAGTAGTGGTAGTGCATCCCTTGCTAATGTTAAGAGAAAACGATATAAGCTAGTGAAGGATACTTCCATTGCCGCCTCTCCAACCAGCTGCGCTTCTCCATCTCTGAATGAATTTGGTTTTAAATCAAAAGCTAGATTATCGCTTGAACCACCAGTGGAAGTGGAAAAACAGGCGCCACAGGAACGAGTGGAATTTTTGCGCGTAGTAGGTGTAATTTCTATCAAAATATCATTCATTATTTCACAAATATTATTATTTTTAGTTGCGCAGTTCTCTATCTCCAGATGATTTTAGCGCCTTTACAGCGGCGCTAATGGCATATAGCCGTCAAGATAAAATCGAAGAATTTCTAGAAGTTTTGATACGAGTATTGTCCAAACCAGAACTGCACTACATGCTGCGTGGTATGCGTCGATTTATAAAAATTAATCACAAAGAGTTATTTGACGCGGGAACGGCGCATATTTTGTCATAACCTCACATATGTATATAGATTAAACTTTGGTCATTTGGTCTAATTTTACTTGACGCTATATAGTTGGCGTTTTTAAGCCCATTAACAATATATACATATGTATTTCGTAAGCTACTATAATATATTTAGTTTTATCAATTTTTAAACATTTTTGTTTTACAATAATAAAAAATACAATGCGATATGCAGATATTTTAGAAATAAAAGCATGAAAAATATGAATTTATTAAGTTTTTTCAATTTCAATTTATGTGGTGTAGTCAGAGGTTGTATAGAGTTTCAAGTTGCTATGCAAGTGATTACTTCAATTCTTCCAATGCTTTTGCAGGAAATAACATCTTTTATTTAGTATAACAGACAAAAAGACCCCACACTTCTTTAACCATAGCCATTACATGACTTTGCCTCAAATACAATTTATTATTACATATATATTTTTAAGTTATATAATATATATAAATAATTAAGATGCTCATTTAATATTTAAATTACAGCTAAATTTCACATTACTTTTCGCTCAGCTGTTTGGAGCTAAATTACGTTGATTGTTCGAACGGAAGTTACATTGATGAGTTCATAAATTTTGTATATGTGTACATATGTAGTATATGTATTCATTCTTAGAGCGTAATCTTGTTTAAGTAGCATTTATTTTTCCACAATTGCTAGATGGTATCACCCACTTGTTCTTTTAAATTCCTTTGTTCAATCCCTCATTTTTGTACATATGTGTATAGCGATTTATTCACTAAAGAATATGCACTTATGTATAGTATGTACATACATAAATATATATGCATTTTATTTAAATATTTCCGTTTATTTAAAAAGTTGTAGAATTTCACTTTCTCAGTGAATTCATTAACTTGCGAATGTAAAGGCACAGTTTTAATTTCTTTCACATACAATTTTTTCGTTTCTACTTTGCCTTTCTCGTCCACAACGGATACGGAAATAATAGCGCGCAATTTTAGCGCGAAAAGTGGCGTACGCAAGCACAAAGAGGATATAAAATGAAAAAGGATTTCAGCAATACTAGCAAACCACTTGATGCTTATAAATTAGTAAAATTAAAATTCAGCCTAATCAATACGCCAATGTAAGCCAAAACGTTCCTCGAATGTTGTACGATTATAAACGCCCACATCGGCTAACATCAGCGGTTCTGTATAGTAAGCAAAGCGTCGTATATCTAAAATTGCTGCGTCAAATTGTTGCTTCCAACTGGTTAAGTCCGTAACGGTCATATGTATTGGCAACTGCGGATCCGGTATGTCGATAGCGGCCGATAAACGATCAAATGCTTCAGCAATGGGACCCACTGATAGATTGACCCAATATTCTTCGGGAAAACGCTTATTTTCACAAAATGGTGCTCCCTTACGCATAATGAATATGAGCATAAGTATTTCGTAGCGTTCACCTGCCTCATAAAAGCGTTTTGTGCGCGTCTTCTCCACAAAGTCAATGAGCAAAATGAGAGGTGTGTAATTTTGTAAGTGCATCAGCAGCTCACGATCTGACCACACGTATTTTCCGCCCTTGACATTGCTGCCTGGGTTGGCACTAGCAACCATACTGGTCGACAACGAAGCGCCTGTTTGTCTAAGACAGCCGCCTTCCTCAACCATGGCAATGGATTGCAGCGTAAATTTGTATGTATGTATTTATGTATGTTTGTATATGGCTTTAATTTTGTATTTAGTTCGTTGGCTCGTGCTGCTAGGGTGTTGATAGGGCGTTTAACCAACACTGACACAAAGTGGAGCAAGGTCGCTTCGAGTGATTGTGACCGAGTTGACGTGTGTGAGTGCGATGCACCAGTTGGTTGTTATATAGTATAAGAATCTAACTGAAGAAAACGTGCAGTTTCTTATTAAATTAATTTTCCGTTTTAGTTATTTTACTTGAACGACGCACATAAGTGAATGTGTTAAACAATTAAAATTAAACTTTAAGCTGTTGCAAATTAATAGTTGTATTTTAGAAAATACTCCAAACTTTGGTGTCGGCTGCTGCGCGTATCGTTTGCGTGTTTTAACTGCTGGTAAACAAATCTAGATGCGAGCAAATGCGGAATGCAATCGATAGCCAAATACATTTGAGTAGATTCAAGAAGACGTCAATGAAGATATAGGGTGCAAATTATTAATGTAACCAAATAGTTTTTTTCGGAATGGTGATAAATTTAAAAAATATAAATTTTCCAAAAGTCCTCCTTTAAATTTGTACTATATAACATTTATCTACATACGAATGCGCTACTGCTACTCTGGAACGCTAAAAATTAAATCCAAATTTGTGAAATGGAACCGTAATTGAAATCATATCCAGCGATCACCACTACGTCACTTCTGTATTCTCTTCTATAAAGCAAAAACTTTTGTTCTTATTGCATAATTATCTTTCCATAATTACATGAAGACGTTTTCGAAATCTTCTCATGGAACTGCCTTAAGCTTACCCTGGCTACGTTCATGGGAGACCAAGTCACTTTCATTTCATTTTGTTAACATTAGTTGGATATTACATGCATTGTCTAAGGTTATTCGTTAATTAACTACCCTATACATTCGTAAGGCTGCAAGTGTCCGTAAGGGATCTGCTTGTGTGAGCGCAAGCGCTGCAACGGGTTTTTCGTAAATTTTCTTTACTTTTCAATTATTTGCAAAAGGCACAAGCACAAATAACGTTGAATTGATTTTCAAAGCATTCACGTTTTATTTAAGTTTTACAAGTCTCATTTTCATTGTTTATTTTTTTTTTTTTTATAATTGCATTTGTACTCATTTAAGTCTATCAGTGTTTGCACAATTAAAACTATTTCATGTAAATTTATTATTTTTAAAATTATTACAAATATTTAAGCCAAACTAAATCTAAATGAAGTTTGAAATCATATAGATTTCTTTTTAGCATTGTTAAAAATACCCAAGTATTTGCCGCGTGTCATTTCCTTGGCCTCCGACACACCCAATTGATAGGCTTCATCATACATTTTCTTTATTTCCATTATTAGATTACTGAAGGGCATATCGCTAAGCTCTGTAAATTATTACAATTACTTTAGTATTTATTTAATTATTCAGTAAAGGGTGTACTTACGTATCATGGCATTTATGTCCTCCTGTGAGAGGTCCTTGGACCACTGCGGTACCGGGGTGCGTATAGGAGTGTCACTCATTGCTATAAAATTACTTATACCAGGAACTGCAAAGTCAACAAAATTCAAACTTCAAAACTTTTGACATAACTATTTAAACATAAATTTATTTGTATCATTTCATTTTGTGTAAATCGTTCAATTAACAAAAAAAGAAATGTGTTGTGAACAACAAATAGTAAATATAATATAAATAGTAAATAAAATATAAAAATACTATAAAAAAATAGCATATGCCCTAAAACTAAACGGATGGTGGTTTTGAAAAGATCTTAATTATATTGATATTATTATATTATAGTAATATTTTTAGTAATTTAAATTTCTATTTAACAGCACTCACTTTTTTCAGGCCACAATTCGGGGGACGTGCGTAATTTTTCCAGCGAATACAATCCATCCTCGGGTGAGTCCTCTTTTATCAAAGACCCTGTAAACATTAGTTAAAGTATTAGCTGTTATTAATTATTATCTCTAATTGAATAAACCTTTTAAGAGTGTACGACTTCGATTTGAGTTCGACATGCTAAAACAAAATATACGAATTAAATAATGCGAAAGTAGACTAAAAAAAAGTCAAAACATATCAAATGTCAAAAGTATTTAAAGACGTTCAGAGTTGCATTTCGACCTATATTTTTAACTTTGAACAAGTTTTACAATTTTATGGATAAAATTGACTAATTAATGTTTAATTTCATAAAACAAAACCATTTCTAAAAGTTAATACAAAACCAATGATAAATGCAATATAAAAATGCGTTAAGTATCATTATACAATAGTAATTATACAAAAATTTAATATTTAGTATTACATCGCCGTCGCTTTAATTTAATGCCGCCAAAATTGTCTGATCCCAGGTTGTTTACAAATCTATTTCGGTCTAGTTCGTTTTATTCTCTAGCTTTATTGTTTTGCAAATTGTTGGCTGTGGTTTTAATTTAATTTTTAATGAATTTAACGAAATTTGGTACGTTCTACCGTATGTTACCAAATTTCCAACATCATTTTATACTTAAAATGCCACGACATGCTCAGACGCAACATGGGGACGCGACGGTAGATGAAGAAAACATTGTGCTCTTAAAAAACGCAATCTATCAAACTGTGCCTAGCACTGAGCCTTTGACATGCACGTGGTTTTATAATGTAGATCCCAATATAGTGCCTGTTCGCAACTATGTAACAGCTATCGCAAATCAGGATCTTAAAGTCGTACTTCCCGAAAAGAGAAAAGCGGATAATGCGGAACAAGTTGAAGCCTTAAAGAAAGCCAGATTGGAAACTAAGGCACTCAAAGCAAAGCGCCCTGGATTCTCCGATGACCGTTATGAGGAAACATCTTATTATTTTGAGAATGGCTTACGTAAAGTTTATCCATATTACTTTACTTTTACAACATTCACCAAAGGACGGTGGGTGGATGAGAAAATCTTAGATGTATTTTCACGTGAATTTCGCGCTCATCCACCTGAGGAATATAAACGCAGCATACTGACTGGTTCTTTGAAAGTTAATTACGAACGTGTGCCAGTGGACTATAAATTGAAACATAACGACTTACTGTCGAATACGGTTCATCGACATGAAGTGCCTGTTACAGATCAAGCTATTACTATAGTGCATATGGATGAGGATATTGTTGTTATAAACAAACCCGCTTCAATACCTGTTCATCCGTGTGGTAGATACCGACATAATACTGTTGTATTCATTTTAGCTAAGGAGTATAATTTAAAGAATTTGCGCACAATTCATCGTTTGGATCGATTGACATCCGGGTTACTACTCTTCGGTCGCACGCCTAAGAAGGCTCGACTACTCGAGCAGCAAATAAGAAATAGAGACGTTGAAAAGGAGTATGTATGCCGTGTAGAAGGAAATTTCCCTGATGGTATCATTGAATGCAAGGAACCTATTGAAGTTGTCAGTTACAAGATTGGTGTTTGTAAAGTATCGCCAAAAGGCAAAGACTGCTCCACAACTTTTGAAAAAATCAAGTACAATGGTATCACAAGTGTTATATTATGTAAGCCTTTGACTGGAAGAATGCATCAAATTCGTGTTCATTTACAATATTTAGGATATCCTATTATAAACGATCCCCTGTATAATCATGAAGTATTCGGACCACTCAAAGGTCGTGGCGGCGATATTGGAGGACGTACTGATGAAGAACTAGTAAAAGATTTGATTCATGTACATAATGCAGAAAATTGGTTAGGTGTTGATGGAGATTTTGGAAGTGAAGGACTAATATTGCCAAAACATGATCATATTGAAAAAGGCGGCAGAGATGTTGAGGCTGTCTCTGAAACTTCTACTATAGTTAATAATGATATTAATAAAATTGATAAACCCCTTCTTGAAGAAGAGGAGAAAGGACAGACTAATAGAGTGTCAGTTGGTACACAAACAGGCCATGATCCACCTGATAATGCATATAATAAAGAAAAAACAACTTTGGATGAACATTGTTATGAGTGTAAAGTGCGTTTTAAAGATCCTAAACCTAACGATTTAATTATGTATTTACACGCGTGGAAATATAGAGGTCCTGGTTGGGCGTATGAGACGGAATTACCAAACTGGGCAGATAAAGATTGGATTGAAACATCTGTTGAATAAATCAATATTAGGAACGCTTTTGTACAGTTTATACTGGTCAAGTAGTTTTTATTATTGACGTGTAAGTTTATGAAGGGTTTAAAAAATTTAAAAACAAACTCAATCAATTAACTAAGCATTTAATTTCATGTGAAATAATGAAGTGCTCTAAATTCTGTATGAACGAAAACAGTTAATTCAATGTTACATATAATTGTAATATATAAACATTCTTAAATATTTGTTATAACAATGAAATGTGTTAAATTCAAATAACGAAAATCAAAATATAATATTTTTGTCTGCGGAACGGAACAATCATTTAAAAATTAAGGTTTTATAGAGAGAGAACAATATGTTTTAAATAAATTATTGAATAATTTTATTTACATTACAGTTGTAATATTTTTCCAGTAACTTATTTTTGTTTAAATAAGTTGAAAATAATACAATAAACACTAATTGAAATACATTTTTAGTGCGTGTAGCTATTTTCAAGACTTTTACGGTTAAATTATTGGGAGAAATATTGCTGTCCACATAGCTCTAAAGTATTTTTAGAAGATAAAATATATAAGAATCTTAAAGCAAAATAAATTAAATTTATACTTCATAACTATAATTAATTTATAAACTTGAATAATTAAATAACAATTACGATTTAAAAATGAAAAGTTTCGTTTTAAAATAAGTCGTGGACATTGATTTATGTTATCTGGCATCTCTTAGTTCTCATTTTTTGTATATTTCTTTCTTCATAACAAATATTTTCTCTTTAAAATATCTCTCTTGACTTTTTATCATCACCCGTGCGCTTTTCTACCAGTTCCATTTTACCTGCTCAACTGCAATTTGTGTGCAGTTGTTCGGTCTCCTAGTTTTAATTGTTTAATTAATTATAGTTAAGCTAAATTTGGTGCTAAACACGTATATTCATCTAAATTCTTATCACAATAAGCTTGTGTTCCTTCTATTTGTATTTATATTAATACAGTGCGTAATATACCATTTCGTTTATTACATCAGCGAAAAAATTCGCTTGTCCACTAAGTTTATACTCTGATGGCCGAAGGTAAAATTGCCAACGACAAAAGCATAAAAAATGCTGATAATTTTTGTATAACCGCGACCAACAGCTCTTCTATAAATAACGCTGTGTTGGGTGAAAAGTTAAGAAAGATTACAGCACTTTTCTTCGACTTGGACAACACTTTGATTCCTACGCGTTCGGGTGATTTGAAAGCAGTCAAAAAGGTTTGTGTGAAAGAAAAAGGAGAACAGAGTAGGGTTGGGCATAAAATGATACACGCGAAATCGTTGGAAATTTTCCACTGTTTTGTTGATAACAGGAGATGGGAGTTGGGAGGTAGGGTGACTAGCACGCGCGATATTTATGCATAGGTGATACATACAAATTCCGGGTAAACGGTAGGGGATATTAAGATGAGATTACGGAAATAACGTAAACGAACTGCTGTTTAATTGCGAAAATCATCAGCGTACCAAGAACGTAAATACATACATATGTATGTATGTTTACGTATTTGTATTTATAATTACACATTAATAAAACAATGAACTGGACAAGGAGTTTACGTTGCGGACAATGCTTTCCGTATTCCGTGGAGTTCAAGGATAATTAATAGAGTTGCCAAGTTAGAAATGTTTTTCAGTTTTATTTCATAATCTGAAAAACTAATGCAGTCTTAATAACTGAAAATAACTGAAATTTTTTCAATATAAAATTTGAAAAATAAATATGTACTAGTCATTTTTTATTATTATGGTTCTATTTTTTTTAATACGTAGTTAAGTGAAGTGCTTGAAAATCAATTTGGTTTATCGAAAGAGGAGGCCAACACCGCTACACAATCTTTCCTGAAAGCATTTCGTCGCTGCCCAGATAACTCGCAAACGTCATTAGATTCCTGGCGTACATATTTATGGCGTGAAGCACTACCACCACGCTACAAACATTTGGCTGAGCAAATATACCCAAAATGGTTGAAATTACGTTATCGTTATTTGGCGCTATCCGCCGATTACATACAAATGCTATGTCGCGCTCGTGAATCAAATTTTCTATTGGCCCTTATTACCAACGGACCATCCAATGCACAATGGGAAAAGATAAACAAGTTGCATGTCAGTCAATATTTTGATTGCATGCTAGTGTCATCAGATCTTCCGTGGGAGAAACCAAATCCGCAAATATTCTATGCTGCATGCAACTATTTAGGAGTAGCTCCATCGCAATGTGCAATGTTTGGAGATAAACTCGAGTCCGACATTAAAGTGAGTATGAACTGACGGAAAAGCCTTACAAATACACTCATTTATAACATCATGCACCTACACAATTTTTAGGGTGGCAATCTAGCGGGACTTAGTGCTACATTTTGGATACCATTGAATGCCGGCGAGATTGACTTAAACGATGTACAACATAAGCCAGACTTTACTCTCAAGCAATTGTTAGATTTATATAAATATTTTCCATCACTAAATAACACTAGAAATGTGCGTGCGAATTTAAATAGTAATACAAATGGCACAAATGCACAATGTAATGCTGGAACAACATACTCCTTAGCACATGGTGTTAACGGTGCTTCAGCTGTTCTACCTCAGTATCGTCGTAGAGGTAGTCAAATTAGTCATAGTCGAACCATAAGTACCTGTTACAGTGATCTTCAACGTCATCAAACACATCAACAACAACCAAATCAATTTGGACAAGTACAGAATGAACAAGAATCGCATGACGAATGGTTTAACGAACGTTTGAATCAAGAGCAGTACAGACAACGGCGTGGTGGGTCACTACCAACTATGGATTATTTGAATAGTGAAGCAGAAAATAGCTCGGACAGTTTGTTTAGCTAAATAATTAATTATTATTAATAATGGCTGTGCATATTGTTCACATGTAAACCTCAAAAACACATGCTCATTCTACGATCCTAAATATAAACGAACGTACAATTACATAATTGCAATAAATCGCAACAAACTAAGGGGCTTCGGAACTTCGCGTGATACATACGTGATTATAATTTAGACACATTTGTATGTATGTAGATAGTTACCGTAAAAGTCTACCCTATTCCCCGCACACTAGCTTCGAATGGTTGTGCTTTACACGCTGCTTTATGAGTAGTAAATGTATATATATATACATTTTGCATGTGTACACTATACTAAGCGTAACTAAATAAATTCGAATTCATATATGAAATAGTATGTATATTTTAAAATGAAACGTACTATTTATCAGCTAAAAGATTTTAATCAATATTTTTAAGTTTTTGTATTGTTTATTTGCTTTCATATTTTTCGTAGACGTAAAAATATTCTTAATAAATAAATATGAACATGCATTTGAGAACCAGAAAATTATAGAGAATTTTATTTTTTGTGTTATGTATGGAAAATCTGTATGATTTTGAAATGCTTTATCGGAATATAGCTTTTATTTACGACCATCATTCAATCATGTGCAAATGTGTATCATACATATAAGATTGTGTCGATAGATCAAAAAATAATTTTTCAAAAAAAATAAAAGTTGTGGGGGAGTGAGCAAAAAATCAAGTTTAATTATAATTTCCTTCACAAAGATTTTTTTAGTTAAAAATTATGAAATAACTTTTACTTCCTGCCTATGATTTCAACCAATGAAATGTGTTTTTTATGTGATAATTGGATATCTTTTATAAAAACCATCATATACACGTCTCAAAGTAAAACAACCTTACATAATTGGATCCTGATATCCCGTCTACTACAGTATACCCAGCAAGGGAATGATTTGCATCTGTTGATTAGCAATATCGATAATATTTCGATATATTCGATTACACTGACCGACACATGAAAATGTTGATAATACGAACCTTTTTACTATTCAGATATTTTAATTCGTTACAGTCATTCCAATAAAGCCATTGCGATGTGCCTATTTGTTTTAGAATACTACCATAACCACTAAAAATTGAAAGTAAGTTTCGCTTTTGAAAAAATTATCTGTAAATATGATTATTCGATCATGTGAAGAAAGGATTTTTGTTTAATTCTTACACATCATCGATAATGGAGCTCAGTACTTCAACAGCTGATTGCATTAGAGGCATTAAGTGGCAGCTTATTTTGTTTGACATTTGAGTTTTCCATGCCAAAACAAATTTTAAATAAACTGTTTCTTTTCTGCGCCAAAATTTGCGTTGTTCCGTTAAAACAGAGCCATCGTATTTGTGTATACACATTTGCTTATTAAAAACAGATTAAATTTTTTTACAATGACTAGACGAGGCACAGCCCGCACGTCACTTCCACTGATCTCGCCACAAAAACCTCAGCCGAAGACTATGAAAAAACAACAGACATGCCGTTCACCAAAAATCAACCAACAGCCATCAAAATCGGTGTACACCATGACTTCTCGTGATTTTCAAAGAGATACAAACGCACACGTAGAAGTAATTGCTGAGCATTTGAAAGATTTTTGCTGCATAAATTTCTTTCAAGCGGCGATAATGCATAACAAACACTTGTTTCGTGGACGGAAGGTTTTGGACATAGGTTGTGGAGTGGGTATTCTTTCGTTGTTTGCTGCCAAGGCTGGTGCAGCACATGTATATGCAGTGGATTCGTCAAATGTAGTAGACTATACAGAACAAATTGTAAGCGATAATGGTTATGCTGACATTATTCATGTGATCAAAGGATCGATGGAGGATATTGTACTACCAGTTGACGAAGTTGATATCATAATTTGTAATTGGTTGGGTTATTCAATGTTATTCCAAGCGGCTTGTGATATGGTAATTTATGCTCGAGACAAATGGTTAAATAAGGAAAATGGTATTATATTACCCGATGTGGCCAAATTATTTATGGCTGCAATAGAGAACACCAAGCACAAGAATGAACGTGTAGAATGGTGGAACGATGTCTATGGTGTAAATATGAAATGTGTGCGTAATTTTGCATTATCCGAACCCTGTTTTCAACTGGTCAAGCCGAAGCAGGTGTGTTACTTTTTATGTACTTAATTATGCGATAAATCAACTAAATATTTTTATATTATTCTACAAACAGCTGATGAGCACACAATTTGGCGTAAAGTATCTCAACATGTACACCGCCACAAAGAAAGACTTGAAATTCCGTTGTAAATATATGTTAGAAATGCAACGTAGTGGAAACATGGATGGCATCGTGACCTATTTCCATGTATACTTTTCGAAGTCCCATACACCAATGGGCTTGAGCACGGATCCTTCTGTATGGCGTACACATTGGATGCAGACGGTATTTTTCTTCGACAAACCTGTTTATGCCAAAGCCGGTGAACTTTATTATGGTGGCATAGAAATGTGTTCAGTTGGCAACGATTGTGATCTCAACAATATGGAGTTAAGCCTCGAAATGTTCAGTGGTGATCCAGCTCATCTGCATCTAGAAGCAGAAATGCGCTGGAAGCTAAAACCACATGCAGCCATAATAAATGAAAGAATTTTAGAAAAGAGTGAGACAAGTGGAAAAAACAAAATCGCTAAAGATAAAAAGCAAATTAATACCGATAAAAGTAAAACTTTGCTTGCACCAAAGAAAAGTGTTTGTGTACCTAAAGAGCCAACAACAAAAACAGTCGTAGTGAAATCGGCAACAATTGTACCTACCATCGGAAATTACTCATACCCCTGCAACGTGACGAGAAGGAACAAAAAAGCAAAGAATTCAAAAAAACGCTAAATTCTTTTTAAAAAGTTTGATATTTCTATAATTTTTTTGAGTTTATTATAACTTTTCACACATATACATTTATATGAAATGTTTTATACACTGAGATAAGGCTGAAATTTGGATAACGAATTAATCCAAATTTATCGTTACTAAAAGAAAACAATTATATACCATTTATTAAACAGAATAAATATACATATATTGTCCAAAAATTTCGATTTTTGTTTTATTTTGGTTATTTGGAAGATAGTAAAAGGCGCATATGATTGCGCAAACAAGTGTTAATAACTCAAAATAATGGCTCATATATTTGTAGGCCAATAAAAACAATACGAGTTGTGCTGAGAAAAGTAGGAAAGCCTTAACTATTTCTTTCTCCCTAAGTCGTATATATGGGCTAATTATAGCATATACATATATGCCATACAAACTGAGTGATCAGCACGAAGGTTTTGTATGAAAAATATTTTTATTGAATAAAATATCATCACAATATTTGGTATAAATTATTTTCCAAGGCAAGTCTACAATCTCTGAATATATTGTTGAGATTGGATCACTACTATACACCTCTGCCATACAAACTGACCGTTTCAAATCAAAATAAAGATACTTTTATGCCCTTTTATGCTATAAGAAATGCAACTCTGAAGGGTATTATACTTACTTTTGACATTTCGAATATTTTCGAATAATTAGTACCGTTTTTTTTTTTAATAAAACTGTAGGCGAACTCTGCTTCTTGCAGTTCATGAGAATTACTTCCAAACCTTGTTGCCTCTCTCAAACCAACGAAGATCGCTAGCTAGTAAAAATTGTTTGTTTGAAACGAAGTAATTACAAAAATTAAGTCAATACTTTATTAATCTTTTTTAATACATCTGCATACACTAATAATATATTTAACCAATAATTATAAATATTGGCTTTAAATGTTTTATCTCAACAATTTTAGTATTTATGTTTTATTTTCGTAATAAGTTAATAATTGCATATATTTTCAATGAAGTAACACAATTTTCAGTTAACAATACAATTTCATTTAGTTTATGTACAACCGCGAAGAAATTACAATACCAGCATTTTTGGGCTATAAGTACGTACATATCAGGGTATCCGTTATTTTCCAATTTCATTTTTTTGCAAATGTCTCGAGAAATTTCGGTTTTTGTCCTTAAAATAAGGACCCAACGTAAACAAGCGCATTATTTTCAATTTAAGCTTAAATCATTTTACTTACATACATATGTACATTTTTAAATCTAGATTTTTTTCCTATTTATTTTACGGGGATATTTTGATTTGGTCCTTTGCAATAAATGTTTTATCTCCAAAGTAAGTAAACACAAATTAAAAAAAAAGGATATTTTAATACAAAAATTGCCGCTCTACATAAAAGCTGTACTATTTTTGTACATCAAAACATTGCTTTAAAAGTTATACGCAGTTGAAAGTTATGCGCCAAAGGTACTGTATTCATATAGTACACCATGCCGTATGAGCAACACAGAATGTTGTGTAAGCAGATCACTTGTATGAATGCTCAGGCGATTTGATTTAGTATTTTAACTGCGTATAACTTTTAAGGCAAAGTTTTTATGAAAAATCATTTTTTATAGAGCGGAAAATTTTACATTAGATTATCACTTTTTCAAATTAGTTGACTTACTTGCCTACATTTATCTAAAATCTTTCTATAGTACATATGATTTAGGCGCGGTTTAAATTGAAAATAAAGCGTTTGTAAAAAACAATCCACTTGGAGAATATCGTACACCCTAATATAAACGCGAAACCTATTGTGCATATAGTATGAATGTCATATATAGTTTATATAGCTATAGAAGAAGTCTAACTACATGCATATGTATACATATACATATATGTATGCATGTGTGTTTGCTGTAAATTTTTTACTATTTGTCGTTGACAATTTTTTAGGTTTTTCGTTGCAATAAAGCAGTTTATTTTCGGTCCACACAAAGTCTTCTTGAGTAAGCAGATTTTAATTATTAAAAACTTCAAAAACAAATGCAAAGCAAACAATTTAAGACATTAAAAACTTCTGACAAAATGCTTGATAACTGATTTATCAATATGTTTTTATTTTGTTTTTAATTACATACACAAATATTATATGTATGTATAAATGTATTTTTTGTCACAAAAATCACTTTTACCTCACGCAACCGTTTTACATTTAGCGTATTTTAATAAACTACAAATGTATACGTCAATACCTACATATGTTTGTATGTATTCAAGTATTTATATATGTATGTATATTTAAGTGAAGTAATCAATTAATTAGCGTTTGCTATAAGCAATCAACGCGCATATTCTAATCTACAAAACTAAGCTTTTACACAGTAAAGGAAAAAGAGCACTTACGTGTTTTACATATATGTATGTATGTATGCTATATACATACATACATGTTTATTTATGCACTTATTGGTAAATACTAGTTATTGTATTCATGTAAAAATAACACAAAAACAACAGCAAAATTGCTGCATTTATCAATTTAAAAAACAAAAATTAACCGAAATCTTCGAGAGCTGCTGTGTATCGCTTGTAGATACAAACGAGCTCCGCACACGCCTCGAGTCCATTTACCATCTACGTATTTATGCTTTCGCCTGCTCCACTAAGTGTGTATGTATGTACATATATAAGCATGTAATTTGCTTTGCTGCATCAATCCTTGCACTTACAATTATACTTTCCTTTCACATCTTAATTCAACATATATGTATATACGTATGTATGTTTGATTATTGATAAATCTGCGACAACTCACTGGGGAAAAAGAAAGAAAGAACTCGTTGTTAAAATGCTATTACAAATTTTCAAAAACATAAATTTTTAATATTATAAATAATAATTTATTAAGAAAAACCATTTGGGAGATTTGTAGACATTGACATTGATCATACTTTCAGACAAAAAAAAAAAAAAAATAATACAAATACGGGCCCTTGAGTATTTTTTATGCCTAAACCTTATTTTTTAATTTTTAAACAAAAATATTGCATTTGTCAAAGCTAAATTAACTTGACGTCTAGATTTAAAATCTGATCAAATTTGACCCGGACTGGCAAAAAAAAAGATTGCATTAAAATCTAGATTTGAAATCTGATCAAATTTGGCCTGGACTAACAAAAAAAAATTGCATTAAAATTTGTAATTAAATTTTTATCAAATTTGACCCGGATTGACAAAAAAAATGCATTTTCACGGTTTCTAATGCAAATTTTTATATTGACACCAATAAAATAGGCTGCTGTGTCTATACGAGCACAAGTACTCTACACGCGGAAGGCTTTATGGGCTAGTCCGGGTCAAATTTGATCAGATGGTGAAATGAAATGAAATTGCCTCAATTACAAAAATGTTTTAGTTGAAAAAATAATCAATGAACAATGATTTTACCTTTTAATGTTTTTAACGCGCTGAAAACTATTTACTTTTTCTTCTGTGCCGCCAATTCTTCCTCTAACTTTTTTCGCCGTTTCGTCAGCAATGCATTGTTGGATTTGTCCAGCGCTTTCACATGCATCTAAAGAAATACAAAAATATAGTAAATTCATTGAATTACTTACTCGCATATAATTTGAATTTACTTTTTCGCTCACCTGATCGTAGTCGACGCGCATTGTAGCCAATGAACGCGTCATTTCCTCTTGCACCTCCGGCCATGTTTCCTCACCCTCCTTGAGCATGCGCCCCGTGCAGAGCGGTGTCTGTGGCACTTGTGTATATTGTGCGATCCATTTATTTCTGATCACTTGCTCGATTGTCAAACGTTTGGTGGGGTCAACATTGAGCATACCCTTGATTAAGTCCTTGGCTGCTTGACTAACGTTGGCCCATTCGGGATTGGGAAAGTCATATTGACCGGTGCGTATGCGCTTCTTCATGCCGGGTGAAATGGCCAGACCGTTGTTGCTGTAGAATGGTGGAAAACCGCATAGCAGTATATACATGATGACACCCAGCGACCAGATGTCACAGCTTTTGTCGTATTTCTCGGGGCCAAGCACCTCGGGAGCTGCAAGTGGTGAGGCAATAGATTAGTTAGTGGAATTCTCCATTCTGCTAACGAAAATCAACACCGAATAAGTTAACAAAAAGTCCGAGGGGCGGCGTATTCCTCCCTTCTTTGTTTAACCTCTTTAATTACTTTAATTACAAAGGGAACTAGTGAAAGAACTAGGGGAATATGTAACATCTGAAAGTAAAGGGCTTTCTCACTTCTCTTTTTCATGCAGAGAACATAAAAGAATCGAAAAGTTTAGAATAGACTTAATACAACTTGTGTATCCGATCTTATAAGTTGGCAAAGCGTGTGGGGGCCAATATAAATTTGCTTACGCTTTTCATTAATCTATCTTAATGAGGTATTTGAAAGTTGCAGCTCTCGAATGCTTGAGTTTGCAAAAGTGGGACGAGACATTTCTACTTTGTCTTCATCCGTACAGCTTCTGTAGCTGACTGCCGGTAAGATTCCCATCCTAAGAGCGTGGACGTGGACGGTGGATGTGGACGTTCAAAGCCGAGCCGAGCGTAAATTCGTATGTTACGTAAATGAGAAAATGCGCTCGCCACTGGCACCTTTGGGATTGCCCATAACTAGAAGGGGCTGAGGGCAAAGAGCTCACGGGATCTCTTCGTTCGACCTTGGATCAAAAGAATCTTCTGAAGTAGAATGCACGAGGAGGCAAACCGAACTGTTTCCATTTTACCGATAGCGATGGTAGGATGGCTCTCCTTGCCCACCAGTCAGCTTTTCAGTTACCTTGATTCATTGATTCTGCTGTGGTCTTGCATATATGTATACTAGTCTTATCACAAAGTATTCGATGCCACTGATAATAAGGTTTGGCATTCCTTAACCAGCTTTGAACGCCCGGCTTATTTTGAGCTTTTGGTAATGTTGAATCTTGCACGACTCCAGATTCAGGCGGTTCTTAGAACATTGACACCCCTAATTTCACGTTCTTCTGCCTCGTTGAATGGCCAGTGATTATTCGCTCCACAGATACGTCAAAAATTGTCACAAATTTAGAAAAAAGAATAAGCACCCGATATTCAAAATTCGATCCAGTCCTTTATTAACAAACATACCCGACAACTCAGCTTTTGATAAAATTTTGGACCGTTATCATAAGTATTTATACACGATTAGAGACTCACCAACATAATATGGCGTATAGCAGGGAGTTTGTAATGTGTCCTTTACAAACGTCTCCTTTGCGAAACCGAAATCTGTCAATTTCAATATGGCATCCTTATCATTGCTGGTATACAGCAGATTCTCTGGCTTTAAGTCACGATGCGCAATATCTCGACTGTGTAGGTAATGTACGGCAATGCAGATTTCATGCATGATCTGTGCGGCCTCTGAGCAAACAGAATGAAAGACAATACAATTAAACAGTGATAAGATAATGTGAACTCCAGCACTTACCACGCTCCGAAAAATTGCCATCGGCGTTGTCTTGTATGCGCTGAAACAGTTCACCACCCTCCATGCTGGAATAAGCAAAAATTACAAAATCAAGTAAATATTTTATGAAAATAATGCAAAGATTTAATAAAAACAACAACTCACCACTCCATCACGACGAGCAGACATTTGTTGCCGCCATATGTGTTCTCGTATACGTCGATTATGTTGACAATATGCCGACAACCGCTCGCACGCCAATGCAAGTCCACTTCGCGCCTAGCCTTCGGATTGTCCAGCAGCACTTTGAGTGCATACTTTTGTTTGGTTTTGCGATTGGCGCACTGCACCACCTTGCCGTTGATCCCTAGGCCCAGCACTTTGTTCGAGATCTCGTAGTCGTCGACGAGCGGTGTAGTCTTCGCTTGCCTCTGTGCGGCGTTAGTATCCGCTTTCGTATTAATTTTGAACATGTCTTCTTTGAGTCACTGCAAAATTGTGGCGAACTGAAATTAATGGGTCTGATTAGACAATACGCATACTTAGTGTAGAGGAATGTAGAAGTGGAACTAATATGGCACTAATACAAATTTAATGTGTTCGAAATGTTTGAGTAATCGGCGGTAAGTGACGCTCACTTTTGCATGTTGATGTTCTCATCGGAAACACTCATCATTTCGTGGGTGGTTCAGAGCAGATAACACTTGAAAGTATCCGATTTTATCGTCGTTTATATGCTTATCAATATTTATTTTCACTTTACGCCAATCAATATTTAATGATAAATTGGCGTATTATCGCATAATTTATATCCTATAACTCATTTCTAATTGCTTTAGTTAGGTTGTAGAGGCGTTGATGAGTAATGAGTTTCAACCTACTCAAGTAATAAAATCACAAGCTATATTAGGATATGAATAAATCGTTTCAAAGCGAGATGGGTATATCGAAGAGACCCGGGTTCACATACACTCGAGGACAAACATGATTCGAAATTAAGTGAATAGACAAACATTTATTTTCTAGATTGATACCACTTTGTTTATGTGCGTGTGAAGTTTAAATTGACCAGTCCGGGTCAAATTTGATCCTGACAATAAAGTACAGTAAATAGTAAAAATCCATTAATTTTGAATTAAATTAAAGGTTTCATCGAGCATAACTACAATGATCCGATTTAGGTCAAATATACACCGTTTGTTCGACAGTTTATTGCCATTCTTAAAGCAATTCTAAAATGTCACTCTTTCCTATTATAAAATCCTGGGTTAGGTGACATTTTCAAGCTTCTCTTGATACGAACTTGTCACTATGAAAATCAGTCGCCATAGACGGCTATAGGTAGTAAACAATGTGTGCCAGCTCTGGACTATAACGTGGATGCATAAAAACGTTCCGGTGGGCTGTGTTGTGCTGAAGGAATACAAATCCTACCATATTGGCCAAGCTTGGCCGCTTCTGTGCGATTCCGGGCTTGCTTTAGACGGTCCAATTGTTAACAGTACAGGTGTGAATCAAGAGTTTGGCCGTATGAGAGACGCTCATAATCGATGATTCTTTGCGAATTCCATCAAGCATATAGCAAAACCTTTCTGGCCGTTGCTATTGGCTTGGCCATTAAGGGTTTACGGGTTTCAGAAAATCATTTTTTCAGTGCCTTATTAAATTCTTCAAGATCTCTAGATTATTGTCGAAATTTTCAAGTTGATCCGCGTAGTAGTTTCGTATATACAGCCTTGAGAACTTCTGCACTCGAGGCTAGCTAGGCTAAGTGCGCCGTCTTTAAACGCGTTTTTCTCGAAACTGTGTTTTTGAAGTCGGTTGGCAAGATTTCTCCAGAATGCAAAATTTGACTCTTAATGGCTTTTCTGTCTCTTTCACTCAGGGCAAACTTTTTTAATTCTGTACTAATATGAACACAAGACAATTGTTGAAATTTTCTCTATATTCAGTAATAGAAAGTAAAGGGTTCACTAAAAATAACAAGCCCGAACCTTTCGCTATAATAAGAGCTGAAAGATGTTGATCTGTTGGCGTCTAGTAACCGATATTCCTCTTTGTAAAAAGAGTGAGAAATAATATCCGAAGCTTAACGTAATCTGAAAACGTTAAATTACTCATGGAGGGCTTAAGGGTGAATAATCTACCGAAAAATAATACATACTTATATATTATATACTTAAATTAAATTGAATCGCCCCTATATGGGTTAGTTATGTCATACATACTCCTTTGATATTTTCCTTTTGAGCTTAGGATTTAGTAGACAATTTGAGTCGGAAAGAGAGTACATATTTGACTCTTGTTTTCTTATTTGATTAAAACATGAATAATAATATATTTTTGCAAAAGAAAAGGTGACTGACCTACCTGACATATATTTATTTAAAGAACATATGGGTCAGTGCAGACCACAAGACCTACTCAATATCCAACAATAACCACAATTAAGTCACACGTGCTTCAACGTTGCATGTTCAAGTGATTCAGATAGACAGGTTTTGAAATGGAAATTTTCGGTAAATCCATTTTGATATTAACTTTCCAGCAATTCAGTTTTCCGCGGAATCATCATGCATTCAATATAAATAAATTAATTTATGTACATATCTACACACATAAATACAATTAATTCATACGTAATTAAAAGACTTAACAAATGAATTCATTTCACATGAAGCTCCATGGATATACATACAAACATATGTAGTATGCAATACATGGTAGTATGCATAATCGTACGAACTAATGACTTTCCAAACAAGCTGGCGTTTTTGCGATTTTAAATTAACAATCAAAAAGATAGGTTAAGTTTAGCTAAAACGGTTATTCTGTATAAAATTGAACGGTGCATTAACAAAAATTGGTGTTTTTTCACTTTATCTAAGGGCAAAAAATAGTAAGACTTTTTCATTCACATTTTGCGCGAAAACCCATTCGTCCTCATATTTTTTTTTCTAAGTTGGTACTGTTAGGGACTGTCAGTGACATCTGTGCCAAAGGCCACTTCAAAATAATCATTAGTGTTTAGTACACGCTTGTCCTTCTGAAACACATAAAGTGCATTTGACGATTTTCAGGATGAGTGAAATTATTCAACCAAGAAGTTCCATTAAATTTTGGGTGCGTCATCAAATTTATGGTGCCGAAACGTTCTGAATGTTGGACGAAACCTTCGGTGATAATTTTTTGTCGCGAGCAAAAACACTTGCTTGTTGTAAAAAATTCTCAAAGGGGGTCGATAACGCGTTGATGCCGAACCATGTCCGGAATAGCTATCAACATCAACTGATGATCAACACGTCAATAGAATAAATTAATTGATGCTTGATTTTCGACGATTAACAGTCAGAGATCTTAATGGCATTGTTGGAATATCGGAAAAATAGTTAAAACCAATATATAGGTCCTGAGAAAAGTAAAAGCGATTTGTTTCCAAAATCCCTAAATTTTTTCCTCGCGTTGACGCCTGTGAAACAATGCTTTCGGATCAGCAGGATGTCATGAAATGTACTATTACTGGCGATGAGTTTAGTATTTAGTTTGGTGATGCACCCCGAATTCCTTCCGAACGTCCAAACTCCCAACAAGGAATACTTTTTTAATTCTGTACTATATTATTTGAGTGTTGTGTGTCGTTTAGGCGCAGCTATTCGTGAAACGTGGCCGTAAATATGGGCCGAGAAATCTTAGTTTTTGCCTACGCATACTGCGTTCTTTTCTTTCTTTGTGAGTTTTCCTCAATTTTTCAACGAATATAGCGCCGGAACCACAGTCTTCATCTGATTTAGGTCCGTGTGACTTCTGGCTATTCAATAAACTCAAACGACCGCTTCGGGGAAACTGTTTTGAATCAATTGAAGATATTAAACGTGAATCTCTACGCGCAGTGAAGGCTATTCCGAAATTTGACTTTGACAACTTTTTCGGAAATTGGAAAAAATATTTTGCACTAGAGTATTGTGGCAAGGGGATTACTTGAGGGGTTTAAGAGTTTTAAAATTATGAACAAAAGTTTTACTATTTTTTGCCCTGTAACATAGGAGATCATTTGAGCCATAATCTGACCAAATCAATTCTTATTTTACTTAACAGGCAAATTTTGAGGTTATATTGAACTGTTAATATATTTTGATATATTTATATAGTTAAGATTTTATTGCTACATATTTCTTGAATATAAAAAATTGGAGTTGGAGGAAACATTAAATTTAATTTGGTTCCGTTGAGAATGCGAAATAAACGTGAATCGCTAGATAAAACATATCGGTCATCATTGCTACCACTGCCGAAGCGCGACATCCCTTAACCTTTTTATATGTATAAATAGTTATGAACTAGTTGGTATTGGTCCAGTTATTTATGCTGCCCGCCGGTTTTTGCGATGCATCCGACTTAATCCATAAATTCAATTGAGTTCATTTGTACCTTTGGACATACATGTACCTATTTATGTATAACTGTATTTATCATGCATGCACAAAGTACAGTTCTATAAGCAAATTATGCGATTTCAATTGTCTTATTGAATGCCTGCAATTGTTTCGCACAATTATTCGAAAGAAATTGTGCAACACTTATTTTTGCAATAAAACGGTGGAAATTTTTTTCAAGCCTTAACGATCGGAATAATTTCAAACAAGCAGCCGCGTTTAAAGCGCCAGCGCCAGCGCATGTCATGAGCGCTGCATTGGAAAGCATATGGGGAAGCAAAGGTACATGTATGCATATACATACAGCACATATGTAGATATGTATGTATAATATGTGTCCAGTTCGCTTATATCTACTGTTGCGGCGCTGTTGCAACTAATACCGATTGCAACAACATTGTTGAACTTTCCAAACGCAGCGCCTACTAATGCGCAATGCAAATTTTAGACGCCTGCGCAAAAAGACCACATTGACAATTAAGCACAAAGCGCCGGAAAAAGTTCTAAAAAAGTAAACTCGATTTTTACCTAGTCATATAAGGTCTTAAAAGTCGACTCTTGTGTTGTTGTGCCAAGGCAAATTTGTAAATTTCAGCAATGCGAAAGCGAAAAGTGAAAAATAACACGAAATGCGGTTCAGTGGCTCCGTCCGTCAAATGGAAGTTGAGTTTGATATATAGTATTTGCATTTTTGTGCAAATATTTTACAATGCGTGACGTCATTCTTGTGGCATTTGTGGTTAATTAAATTAAGCTTATATTTTCATGAGAAGCGTTTAAATATAGATTTGCATTTTCATAATATATTCAAGCAAATATATACATATATACTGTCTAAAACTATTTGAGTACGAACATAATAATATACCATCTGTTCAAAATTGACTCGGAATATAAAAAAATATTCACATATTTTAATAAAAACATTTATTATAGTCCTGAAAATCGGCTACTGAGTGAGATATGTATATATATACAAACATACGTAAAGATAATAACAATTTGAGCTTGAATATTCCAATATACCATCTGATCAAATTTGACCCGGACTGGTCATTGAAAACTGCGTGCTC